ACTTAAGCAATAAAACTATAAAAAAATTTTGTTTAATTTTATTATGAAGAAAAAAGTTATCATGGTTTAAAGTTATTTGATTTATTATTAAATTTTACCATAAAAATTCACATTGCAACTGATAAATTAATAGAAATTTCTTTTTATAATTCATATTTTCAAAAAAAATATATTGTTAGTTGAATTTTGTTGTCAACATTTGTTATATTGATGTAACATATGTTTGATGATCAACCGCCATCGAAATTTATTGGATTTAAAAATAGTCGATCATTTTAATAAAAATAGTTAGTTAAATTCATAAAATATTATTACATAAAACATACATTAATTTATTGAATTTAAAAATAGTTTTATTTTAAAAGTCAGTCAAAAGTTATTAATAGTAAATTAAATTTATTTGCTTGCTTACATACCTTGGTAAACCTTTTTTTAATGAACATTCTTGTCATATAAGTATTTTTTGTGCCTTTATTCACCATAGTTATAGAGAGAGGCATTTGACATAGAGAGAAACAAAAGAGAAGTTTGTTATAATGGGATTTACTTGGTATTTGTTATAAATAGAATGAGTGAAATGTAGTCTTTTCTCAGAATAATGTCATGTTATAAATTACTATTACTCAATTGTAGGTCAAATTCCCCGTTATGAAGTTAAAGAAAGAGATTCTGGAATAAATCACTAATATATGTAATATATGAATGAATCCACAAGATTTCAAAGATTTATATACAAAACTAGTATATGCCACAGATAAACACACCACAAGAGTATATTATATTATAATGAGTTTAAATAATCTTGAGCTATGAATTGTTTGAATTTCCGATTTATCGATAGTTTAAAAGTTAGATCAAAGAGTTTTCATTTGCTTAAATAAAATATAAATTTAATGTTTACATAATAGTTAATACATAACATTTATAATATATACAGTATATATACATATTCATAATATAAACATATTGTTTTATAATGCTTATTAACTAATCTCTAATATTTGCTAAAAATGATAATAAAAAAGTTGCTTAAATTTCTATAATAAATGCATCAATCAAATGAGATTTTATTTTTTCGTTATTTCTTTTTAAAACTCATTACCACCCGTATAATCGAATTGGTCCGAATTATTATTGTTTTTGTTGTTATTGTTATCTTCAAATAAATCCAGAGCTCCATTAAAAAAAAATCCAACGTTTCGATCATTATCAGCAGCTACCCTTGTTTGATTATTAGCAGCAGTTGTCCTTGTTGCATTAGCAGCCGTTGCCCTTGTTGAATTATTAGCAGCTATCCTTATTGAATTATTAGCAGTTACTCTTGTTGAATTATTCATTGTATTAATTTTTAATAAACTGTAGTAAAACAAAAAAAAAATTTTTGTAGGAATATAACGCACATATATATACTTATTTATTTATTATAAAATGGAGTAGGAAAACTAAAATGGAAAAATATATATGGTTTTCAGGATAGATCTTCAAACAATAAGTTTTATTTTCAATGGTTTTTTTATTCTTTCATTCATACATCTTTTCAATTTTCAAATCCAAAAGTTCGAAAAAGTTTTACTGATAAACAAAATTTTTTTCCAAACAATCATAATCTTAATCACGAGTTACATCTGTATAGACATAATGCAATAATAAATAGGACATAAAAGATAGGCTTAGGTCACAGCCAGTATAAATATTATTATCAGGTAGGTCCTATGTAATCACTAAACAAACTTATTTTTTGCGACTTTATATCATAATAATGTGATACAATTTAATAATAAGAAATCATGATCTAATCCAAAACTAGCACTTTGTGTTACACGTCCAATTATTATTATTGAATTAGTTGTTTTATAAAAAAATTTGAAAATAATTCTGATTTTGAATTAAAAAAAAAAATTTTTATTTCTGCCAGTGATTACCTGATAACAAGAACTTATCCTAATATTGACACCACATGATCATGATCTAAAATTTATTGTATATTATGTAAAAATTATAAACATATGTATTCCGACATAGGATTACATACAATAGAATTTCATTAGCAGTTTTTTATTTTCATTATAATACGGTGCGTAAACTTAAATTTATTGATACTAATACTTTTGATATTAAAGGTAGAGATTTAATTTAGCAAATCGTACATATACAACTTAGTAAGCAGACAGACATATTGCGAATGAAATTTTAAATGCTGGTCATTGATTTCTTATTTATATTTATATCTATGAAGATGATTATTATTTATTTGTTTTTTTTTTTTTTTAACGCCGTAGTCTTGTTGTGGCATTTATTAGTTTGAAATTGATTTGAAATTTGTTCTCGTACTATAA